CCTCGTAGGACAACAAAAATCATGTATTATATCAAGGATGTTAGTCTACTGTAAATATAGCAAGCAATTTGGGTTGGGTTTATAAGCCTAGTACAAGTAGCAGTTTGAGTTATATGCTACTTTGAAGACACCACAGAATTTATGCTGAATATCACTGATTATGGAAAAGAGGTCAATAATCAATTTAAGTAGGATTAAGTACAATAGAAAAGCCTTCTTTAGATAAATAATTTCCTATCCTATAAGGAGGACAGCAATACCAGTGTAAAACAGGCTTCCTCTTAAAAGCTTGTGTTCAGTCATCTTTCCGAAGTGTAGCCTCAACTTGCTTTGGCCTTGATTTTTTTTAAATTTTTTTTTTAATTTTGCTGTGTGGTTTGCATCTTCTGTGGTAGAACACCCATTAGTTGCAATAGTAGCCTTGCCAAATGCGTATGGAATTCTGTAGAACCTCTGGACTGTACAATGGAGTGAAGAAACAGGGCTATTAAATTGGATGGGGAGGAGATTTCCATTGAGAACACTATTTCTGCTTTGGCTTTCAAAATAACATGGATTACTGGAGTGGGAGCATATGTCCATAGGTAAAGCTGTAGCACGCAGAGGACAGGAAAAATAAAGCAGGAGAAGAGATAGATAAGAGTATGTAACAGCAGCAAAGGACAGGTGAGTGATTTTTTTTCATTTCAATTTTTATCCCTTTGTTCCTTTATTTTGACTTTGCTCTTCTTGTTTACAAATTGTCACAAAATTCATAATGTTAGAAGCAAATTTTAAAAAAAACCCAAACCAACCAACCCTAGGCTTCTAGTATATTGTATGTAAGATTAGTCTAGAGCTGCAGGAACTGTCCTGAGTTACTAATACTGAACTTGCATTGATTCTTTCCTTTATTTACCTCTTTTTAACCTTTTCTGGTAAAACACAGAACAGAGCGACTTCCAATTTTTAGTTTCACTCTGGTAATTAATACTATAGCTGATTTTTAAAACTTTCCTGGAAGCCAGTTAATTGTGATTGATTCTTAATGATCTACGTAGGAGGAAAAAATACAGGAGGAAACTTAATCTGGTATTTTTCTCATAGTGAACTTATGCTGTAGAGTTGGGGTGAAACATACATATATACATATATGTATGTATATACAGTGGCTAGTGCTTTTAAAGAACAGAGTTGACATCAAAGTCAACTGAAATGGATTTAAAGTATAGTATTTACTATAGGTAGAGCTGCTAGTGCCACCTGTACTTAAGGTTATGTGACCCTTTCCATTTTAAGTCTTAACTCTTAGTTACTTTATAACTTTGCCAAAGTTCAGTTCAGACAGATTTTTTCCATGCCAGATGTCTGCTCTGGGTTGATTATTTTTTTTTTAAAAGTTTCAGCCAAAGCAGTTCTGTTCCAAGAATAAGGCTAGTGAAAAGTATGCTATTTTGCTTGTGTGAGAATATTCTGGTGTCCTTCTTTGATGCTCCAGTGCCCCCAAGCTCTGAAGCAAGGATTTGAAATTTGGCAATAGTTCAGCCTTTGTGTTGAGGATGTGCCTTTTGCCTCCCTGTAAAAATCCACCCAAATTTCCAGACCGGTTTACAAGGCTTTGAAAGATTGCCATTTGCATGGGCTTAATAGGAATTTCTTAAAACTTCACAGTAAGTTTCCTTTAGATTCTGTTCACACTGGGAGTGCTCCAGGCAGAGTAGAGCTGCATATTTCATCCCACTTCTGCTAGGAATTGTAATGGCTGCATCTGGGTGCTGACATGGAACTAAGAGCGGGCAGCATTTTGTCTTGTACCACCACTGCCTGTTCCCATGTTCTATTCCTTCTCCCTGGTGAAGGACCTGGGCCCTCTGGAAAAAGAAACTCTCTCATCTGAAAGAGCATGACAGATGTGGAGAATTTAGTAGTGTGTCTGGTTTGTACCATTCTTTTGGTCACAGAAAATGTGTGTATCATACTGGCAAAATATTACTTCCTTTTCTAGTGGATGTTCAGATAATAATCATTAGGTTTTGTTGTATTTAAACTTCAGTAGTTGAGTGGGTCTTAAGGTTTTAATAATTTTACTGAACTATGTAGCCATCAATTTGAAGAAGTTAGACTCAAAAAAAGTCACAGTACAGTAATGTTGTTTAGAAGGCAAAAATCAAGAGTTTACTTTTTTCAAACATTTAAGTCTAACTCATACCTCTTGTTCTTGATATGCTGTAGTACACCCTCCAACTTCATCACAAGTGTCATGTGCTTGGTCCAAGAGGCAAATATTTGGGATGGGGAAAAGGGTCTGTTCTGAGGATGAGTCCAGGATTTGTACAGTAAAGGATGTGTATTCATCTGTTACAGAAATTGGAATGTGTAGAGTAAGTGAAGCAGAGATTTCAGGAGTTTAAAAAAAAAAAACTTTGTGGCCAAGACAGTTGAATGCTGCATGATGAATTGTGTGCAGTCAGTGCTTAGTAGTGGTGTTTTTACATGATGCACTCAAATAATTGTTTGTAGGTGGCTGCTCATACTGTGTGTTCTAGTGGCTGGTTTGAAAACTCTTAGGCATTTGCAGAAATGCAGACACTTATAACTGCAAGTGAAATCAGTGGGAGCTTAACCTCATATAAAATACTGTGTGTTACTAAGGACAGAAAAAACAGGTTCAAAGTATCTGAAATTTGACATCTGGAACTAGGGAATATTTTAATTAACCTAACGCCTCAGTTACCTGTTTTACACGTGTAGAAATTACTTGTCCCATCCCTGTGGAAAGGCTTGTGAAGAAATTGGCTGCCTTTTGTAGCAGGACTGAAAAATAACATGCTATAAATAAAGCATATGACCACCTCCTATTGATCAGGGATGAAACAAAGCATTGATAAATATGTAATAAAAAGTTGATTTATGTAATAAGATACAAGTAAATTATTAAATTAGTAAAATTACCGTTGCAACTCTCAACTTTTCAATGATTATCTTTAGGACCCTAATAATTATCTTAAAATAAAAGATGTGATTTTCTTTGTGAATTTAACAAGCATTCAACTTTCTTTTGTACAAATAGTCCAATTTTGCCAATCTCTTGATAGCTCTATTGGTTCTGGAGGTGGAGTCATTATTTCACTCTTTGCAATTTCTTTCCCAATAAAGCATGCAAATCTGAACTATATTGGATCTGTCTGAAACCAATGAAGTCAACCTATAGAAAGTGGTTCCTTTTTTTTTTTTTACTGTATTAACTAACCCATTTTATATTGATCCAAGCATAAAAATCCTAGTACCATAGCTCTGGAACTTAAGTCTTCCACATTGAATCAGCAGTCAAAATTTGTGAACTGTGAGAATAATATTAAAATGCAAGTTTAATTAGCAGTAACCTCTTAATTCTCTTCTAAATCATAGCCACTTTACCTTAGTACTAGTTGAATAAAACATTACTGGGATCTTCATCCTTTCTGTTCACTGTGGAAATGGAAAGCATACTTGCTCAAACCATTGACAACTACCTCACCATGATAAATTTCCTCTTCGTAAAGCCACTTCAACAGCACATCATTTTTATTACTTTGCAAAGCCAACTGTAACCTGAAGTCTTCTATGCAAAGAAAGATTTTGTAGGTTTTTTGAAAGGGACAGGGTTACAATAAAGTGAATGTGTGTTTGTGGAAGTGTCTAGCTCCCAGAATGAAGAGATTTGCTGCTAAGGTTTAGTGAATTTAATGCTTTAGAAATTATTTGTTGGAGAGGCTGCAGCAGTGGAGAGTTTTTGGTTGGGGGGTTTTCTTTCTTTTTTTAAGGTGGAGGTATGAGAGGTTTTTTTGTCTCTGAGGACTACTTTAAGTTTAAACTTTTTTGATTTGTTTCTTGGGTCATTCCTTCAGGGTGTTTGCTGCCTCTGAAACAGTACATCTCAGGTACTGTTTCATCTTTTGAAAGCTTCAGCAAAGGCAAGGCATTTAACAGGATGTATGCCATGCAGTATTTTCAGGAGAAAGATGGGAATTTTGAGCTGCTCAAAGCATAGATCTTCCTCAGAGGAACTCTGCTGCTAAGAACAGCAGTCTTATTTGCTTAGCTGTGTGAAATCCACTTGCTTGTGGACAACTGTTTTGGCTTTTGTTTCCCCCTCCCCCCTCAAGACTTCAGCTTACTGGTGTGCTCTTCCATGTGTGTTTTGAGCTGTGCTTTGAAGTTGGGCAACAAGCTTTAAACAAAAGCTGTTACCACACTTATGCATAGCATCTAGCTTGATTTCAGCATGCTGATGTGTCAGTGATGTGGTTTAGAGTTAACATAATGCAATTCTTTGCTTGCTTTGACATTGCTTTCTGTAGGATTAAAATTAAAAAAGAAAAATAATTATATTGCCCTTGGGTTTTGTGTAAAAGCCAAGTCAAAATGGACCTTAGAATGTGATTAAATGGCTGTGCAGCAATTATTAATTGGGCAGGCATCTGTCTTGACATATAGATGAGATGAAGTCCTGTATTTTTTCCTCTGTCAATTTCCTCTTCCTCTTCCCCAGTCGCCCTAATAATTTAAGGAATTTCTGAAAACCAGACATTGTGTGGATTTAGTTTCCTACCATCATTCTAGCGTATTTTAGTTCAGAGTGCCTCGATTAAAACAGTTTAAGATGCATATTTTCTGTCATCTTTGAGCAGTGTACTTGAGTAGCAAGATTCAAATAGTACTGCTTTGACTTTCTTGAATTTATACTCAAGTCTGTATTTTTTTATATTGATTTTTATTTTAAGATTAAGGCACAAAATGAAGGGTAGGTTCTGAAAGGCAAAAGCAAACACAACTGTACGCAACCAAATTAATTTGTATCCAATTACACCAGCAGTAATTAGCTCTGAGATTTCAACTGTACTATTTCAAATTCATTTGAAAAAGTAACTAAAAACTGATTTGCAAGACTCTGCTCTGTTAAACAGGTTTAATATGTGATCACTTATAGTAAGTATGTTAACTGTTTCTGAATGTTTGCTTTTTTGTCTTGTTTTTGGCAGCAACTTGAACTAGTGGAACCAAGCGGCTGGATTCATGTTCCTTTAACAGATACTCATAAGAAGCCTATTCGCACCTTTATGATTCAGATTGCTGTTCTAGCTAATCACCAAAATGGAAGAGACACTCACATGAGACAAATTAAAGTGTACACCCCGGTGGAAGAGAGCTCTATTGGTAAATTTCCTAGATGTACAACAATTGATTTCATGATGTATCGCTCCATAAGATAAACTTTCTTAATGAGAAATAATAAAGGCTTTTTTTGATGGCAGTATCATTGCTTAAATATTCAAATACTTAGAGCAGGGTTTACTTCAGTGTATATTATATCTTTATACTTTGTATGATTTTGAAATAAAGATAATCTTCTGTTACAGTGTATTGTAGTCTGTAATTTTGCATTACTTTTTACTTGCAGTCTTTGAGTTCTTTTGTACTATTGGAGAGGAAAAAAACCTGGGCACTTTAAAAGGACATATTTGTGACTAGGAATCAATAATTGATTTGATGTAATACAGTTCTTTTTTTTTTTTTTTCAGATGATTTCTTCACCTAATGGTCATGCATGGAAATAGTTTGTTCCATAGTGTTACTGTTCATTATTTACCTAAAAGTTGCTCTTTAGAAGAGTGTTCTTGAATAGACATGGTTTAAAGACATTACCAGTAGTATTTTCCCGTCATTTCTGTATGTTGAGGTGTTGTACTCCTCTGTGAGTTTTTTTCCTGCTTAATGACTGTCTGCATGGATTTAGCCTTCTTTGTAACTGCGAAGTAGATCATAGAATCATAGAATATCCCCAGTAGGAAGGGATCCATAAGGATCATCAAGTCCTACTCCGGGACTACCTAAAACTAAACCATATGATTAAGAGCATTGTGCAAATGCTCCTTAAACTCTGTCAGGCTTGGTGCTGTGTCCACTTACTTCCCTGGGGAGCCTGTCCCAGTGACTGATAATGCAATGAAGATGACAATGACATGAAGAAAACAGAACCTTTCCAAATTATCAATATAGTATATACATTAATATAGATATACTGAGTATAGGTCATCCAAATGTGATAGTTCTTCAAAACAAAAGGAGAGCTAGGAATGTTCCAACATCATAGAATATAAGCAGG